TGCGGGGCGGCATGGCGCCCCTGTGGCGGCAGGGGGAGGGTGTCTCCCCTTCATGTCTCTTCCCACAGCCAATGAAGGAACCCAGGTGTCTGGGCTCCCAGCACCAAGACCTCTCACCCCTAGCCCCCACTCCCCTATCCTAAGCAGGGAGAGGAGAAACCAGGTATCCTAACCCCCACCCCCCTATCCCTCCAGCCCACACTCTCCTCCCAGAGCTGAAGAGAACCCAGGCTGCTGGGCTCCCAGCCCCTACCCTCCAATTGTGCTCCCCAGCTCCCCTCCCCTCCCCGAGTTGAAGAGAACTCAGCTGTCCTAGCCCCCACCCCCCTCCCCCCCCTCCCTTCTCCAGACCGCAGCCCCTCCCCGAGTTGAAGAGAACTCAGCTGTCCTAGCCCCCACCCCACTCCCCCCATTCCCTTCTCAGAGCTGAAGAGAACCTAGATGTCCTGACTCCCAGTCCCCCCTCCCCACCCAGAGCTGGAGAGAACCCAGGTGTCTGGGCTCCCAGCTCCCCACACACACCCCAGCTCTTATCCCATAGATCCCAATTCCTTTCCCAGAGCTGGGAGAGAACCCAGGTGTCCAGGTTCCCTACTCTCAGCCCCCATTTCCCTCCCAGAGATGAAGAGAACCCACGTGTCCTGAACCCAGCCCCCCCCTGCTCTCCCTTTGGCTCTGATAAGCCAACGGCTCCCAGGGGCAGTTGTGCAAGGGAAGTTCCCCCCTAGCTCCACCTTGAGTTACCCAGATGCATCTGCTTCTGGGGTGGAGCCAGCAGCTTTGTCCCCCCAGGGAGCTGTCAGAACCCATTAATTAGATGCCTATAGCACAGAGGAGAATTGGTATAGCCCAGAGGAAAATTCCATGGGGTCGATACATATGGCATAGTTTTGCTGTCAATCATTCTGGTGGCAGTAACTAGGTCATGGAGGAAAATTCCGCTATGCCTGAACCCAGTAACCAAATGCTACAATAGTGGAAAATTACAGTTTAGAAAAAAGTTCCCACCACTCATATGCAAATTCACATTATTATTGGCCAGTTTTAAATTATTCCTACGTGGCGACTAGCAATTGGCTTGCTAGCCGTGTAAGAGGTTGAAGCAGTTTCCGCCCAAGTTGGAGAAAACTCCACACACCCCTCGTGAAGAACTGTGAGTACACTGTGGAGCCTAGCAAACTCCACGCGTGTTTCAGAGCGAACTTAGCGGCCTGATCAACCGCTAAGGACTCCCCGTCACCGACCCAAGGGGGCCTAGCACACCCCCACCCAAGACGTAAGACGACTGCCGGCTCGAACACCCCGAACACCCCGAAACGCGTCAGTACCTGATTCCACTCCAAGCGTCACAAGTACCCGCCCGCCGACTAGGGCTCCTAAGGCCCCGAACCCTGCGCCGCGGCTCTCGGCAGCAACAGGAGCCACCAGGAGGTGTAGCCACCTCTCCCAGCTACCCAGCTCTGCCCCTGTCCCACTCACTGCCTCAGTTTCCCCTCTAGTCCTGGCTCCTCTGGCTCAGGAGTGCTCCAGAGCCTGTGAGGTTCCGGGTCTTAGGCCCTGCACTCAGGCTTCCGGCCATTAGTTAAAGCTTATTTATTTGGGAGGTTTCCCCCATCTTAAAACCAGCAATAACATTAATTCAGATTCAAATGCAGTTCAAGGTCCCCAAACCCCCTAACGCATACCAGGGTGCCAGGCTGGGTCATGCCCACAGCTGCTAGTAAAGGAGTTTGACAGTTGAAAAAACCCAAAGGAGAAGGTTGACAAAATTCTCTGCAGCTTCAAGAACACTAAGACTCCTGGGGCAGATGGACTGCCCAAGGAGTTCTGTGTTATTTTCTGGGATCAGGTGGGCCCTGACCTCCTGGAGGTCTTCAAAGACCAACTGGGGGAGGGCCACCTCAGGGCAGAGGTGGACAGGGGCCTCATTACCCTCTTGTACAAGAAGGGTCCAAGGCAGGAGTTGAAGAACTGGAGGCCCATAACCCTCTTCAACTTTGACTATAAACTGTTGGCCAAGGTGTTGGCCAAGCACCTTAAATCTGTTATAGGGTCAGTGATCCATGAAGATCAGACATGTGCAGTGCCAGGGGACTGTCTGATCCACAGAGGCCTACTGCTATGGGATACACTGCAGTACCAACAGTAGATGAGTCAAAGCATGGTGGTGCTGAACTTTGACCTGGAGAAAGCCTATGACTGAGTATCCCACCGATTCCTGTTCAAGACGCTGAAGAAGATAGAGTCCCACTGACCTTTGTTGCTTAGACAAAGACACTGTACACGGACATGAGCAGCTGGGTGCAGGTGAATGGGCTCCTGACTGCACCAATCATGGTGGAATCAGGGGTCCAGCAGGATTGCCCATTCTCTCCGGTCCTATTCATCTGCATGATGAAGCCTCTAGCTCAGAGGTTTAGGCAAGATCCCAGAATTAATAGAGTGCAGGTCCCTGGGCACATCCAAGAGGAAGTGAGGGTCCTGGCTTACATGGATGACCTCAACATTGTCTGCACGGACAAGTGGTTGATCAAAAAAGTACTGAACATAACCCAGGTATACGAAGCGGTGGCAGGGGCCAAGCTCAATGTGAGCAAAAGCACCTGCCTAGTAGGGCTGTGTGAAATTTCACCACCAGTTTTATTTTGATGCTGTTTCGACCTGTTTTGAGGTCAAAACAGCAAAATCGAAATGAAACAGATATGGTTGAGACAGCCTCCAAACAAAACAAGGCAAGTTGAAACATTTCACCGTTTTGACACTGTTTCGACATTTTGCCCATAGGCTATAATGGGGAAGGTTGAAACAGCCTATAACTTTGTCATTTCTGGCCATATTTGGATAAAACTTGCAGAAATGGTAGCCCTGTCTGAGGGCATAAAGTGTGCCAAGTTTCAAGAAGATAGATGCAGGGGTTCGGAGAAACTGTACCCCAAAGTCTTGAGAGCCAAACTTGTGTCATCTGTATGTGTTAAGCCACAGCAGGGTCAAAACTGCAGGCATGCTAGCCCCTTTGGGGGCCACAAACCCTGCTAAGTTTCAAGGAGATAGGTGCAGGGAATTCAGGGAAGCTGTACCCCAAAATCCTGAAAGTAAAACTCATGCCATGTGTATGTGTTAAGCCACAGTGGGGTCAAAACTATAGGAGTGGTAGCCCCTGTGGAGGTCACAAAGCCTGCCAAGTTTCAAGGAGATAGGTATGGGGGTTTGGAGGAAACTGCACCTCAAGCTGCGGACAAGCAAAACTCATGACATGGGTGACATGGTGTGTGTTAAGGCATTGCAGGGTGAAAGCTGCAGGGATGATAACCCCTGCTGAGGCCATGAAGCCTGCCAGCTTTCAAAGAGACAGGTGCAGGGGGGTTCTGGGGCCCTGCACCCCTAGCTGCTCACAGGCAAAACTCATGACATGGGTGCTTGTGCAACTGCTGCCTCTCATCAGGCAGCACGACTGAAGATCCTGCATCACTTGCACCACACACCTGGGGATAATAACTGACCACAGTATGAACATGAACCAGCAGTGCGATGCTGTAGCCAGCAGGGCCAACAACACACTGGCATGCATCAATTGATGCATCTCCAGCAAAACCATTGCAAAGAAGTGATTCTCCTGCTGTACTCAGCTCTACTCAGCACGGGTGAGATCACAGCTGGAGTACTGTGTCCAGTTCTGGGCTCCGCACCTTAACAAGGACGTGGTAAATCTTGAGAAAGTCCAGAGAAGGGCTAACCATATAATCAGAGACTTGCACGGTAAGCCATACAAGGAAAGGCTGAGGGACCTGGGACTCTTCAGCCTGAAAAAGAGAAGGCCAAGAGGGGACTTGGTAGTAGCTTACCGCTACATCAGAAGCATACATCTAGGGCTCGGTGAACAACTGTTCACTGGGGCACCCTTGGGGAAAACTAGGAGTAATGGTTACAGTCTGGACACCCTAGTTGTGAAGCAGATTTTCCTAATGTTGAGCCTGAAATGAGCCTAAAACGATCTTCCAGGAGTTTGTGACTAAGTACAAACTACAGAAAGGAGGTCTGGTGACCCTGATGAAACACTGCAAAATGCAGAAGGCAGTGAGGCAATGAGATGTAGTGTTAACCATGGACCTACTCTCCAAAGATGGATGCCACGCCGTGGGAGAGAGGATCTTCCACAAGGACCTGCAGAAAAAGCACGGAGATGTGAACTTGCAAGTAGCCCACTGCATGCTCTTGGTGCAAGTGAGGCATTATGTAAAGGGGCAGTTAAAAACCAACCATATTGCCCCAGGAAAACCTGCTCATGGAAAGCATAGCAATCAACCACCTCCAGCGGTATTGCTCTTTCACCAAAGGGGTGTGGAGGAAAATGTTTATACTCCTCAAGATGGTGACAGGGATCACAACTCTGTCCACAGAAGTGGAACTGTTTGAGTAACTGTCCAAGCAAAAGGAGACCCCCAATGGCCCACTTCAACCAATTAATTTCCTGCTTTAGAGATGCCTTGTGGAAAGCCAGGATTTCCTGCTTGTATATGGGCACACAGCCCCCAATAGATGCCTGTGTCAAAATGTGACTGAACAATACTCAAGGGTACTACAAGAAAGTGGTGAAAGATGTTTGGGAGGAGATGGCAGGGATCATCTAGATGATGGACTGGCCCAGACTTTTCAGGCATGGACCCTCTGAAGAGAGCAATCATGATGATGATGGTGATGATGATGAAGGCGGCAGAGACAATGAGAGAAAGAAAGCAATGAGGACAGTGAAGACAGTGACAACTGAAAGAACTAGGAAATAAATAGACAGGGGTAGAGGAGTGGGGAGGGGGGTAAGCTTAGGGTGCAGGAAAAGGTTGCATGTTTGTGACAGACAAGGCTAATGGTCACACAAACATGCAGGAGTGCAGGTGCATGGTGTGGATACTGCGATGGGAATGTGTATGATGTAATGGCAATGATGACTGTTATACTGTCAGGTGAGCCATAGCTGCCACAGGACAGTTTTGGTAGAAGTAATGCGAGATAGATAGATAGATAGATAGATTTTTTAAAAACAGCCCAGCTTTTAAGCCAGGGACCAGAGCCACTGCATAGTATAGGGTGGGGAGGCTGGGCTGGCCAGGAGCCTGGAGCTTTGGGGGGCGGGTGGCTGGATACGGGCAGAGCCTGTGGCTGGAAGAAGGCTGTAGACAAGCCCTTCCAGTGTAGAAAAGGCCTGGTTTTCCCAGCTGGTGAAGAAACTCCCACTCTCTTCCCATCATCCAGCAGACTGAATCAACTTCCCTTTCAGCAAATAAAGGGCCTGGTGCTCATGGGCACTGAACTTGGACCCATGCCTCTCACCCAGGCCACTGTGCCACATCACACCCAGCAGGGCCATGTCACCCTGCCAGAACCAGACCAGGGAAGCCCTTTCCTGTCTGCAACAGAGCTCAGATACCCACAGCCCTCCACCGGCCCCCTCCCTGATGCCCCATGGGTCCTTGCAGCTCTAAAAGGGCATGAGAGGTAGCTTGAGGGGTGGGCTGGTTGCAGGGAGTGGCCCAGGTGGGGCAGTGGAGAGCAGAGTAGAGGATCCCTTCAGGGCTGCAACTTCCCCTGGTTTGCAAAACCTTTCAAGGTGGAAGCTGTGGCCAGCCTGGGCACCCTTGAGTTTCTGGCACCCCCCTGTGGCAACTGGGACAAGGAACTAGTGGGAGAGAAGCCAGGTGGCATCCCCCTGCAGGAGGCAAGATGGGGTCCCCCCAGCCCCCTGCCATCCCGATAGCATCCTGCTGGGGCTTGTACCTGGGAGCTCACAGCATTAGAGCTGCAGCCTTAGATACCCTGGCACAGCCTGAGAGATGCTGCAGCTGGACTCCTGGATGCTGTTTCCTGATCTGCTGCTCGCCTTCCCAGTGACCTCCAGCCTGTCTCTCCTGTGCCCCACTCTCCCCACCTCTAAAATGGACATCAAGCCCTCCCTTTGCTGGTGAACAGCACTGGCCCAGGGCCAGACCCTCTCACCCCACCAGGGATGGAAGTTTCATGCCCCATCACAGAGGCAGCACCCAGGCCTTGTGACCTGAGAGGTGCCTGCATTCACCCAGACTCCAAACTTATACAGACCCAAGACAAAGGGCCCAGTGCTGTGGGCACTGGGGCATTGGCAGCTCTGCCACCCACCAATCCTGGTCCTTTCCAAGGCTCCAGCTGCTGCTGGTAAAAGCCTTGAATACATAGAGTGAGTGGAGCCATAGGGCTTTTTGCAAACCTGAAATCACAGTCCCATGACCCCCTCCCTAACCTCAGGACAGAGCAGACTATGACCTAGTGCCCAGCAAGTCAGCAGCTTCTGCACTTCCCAGAGACTCAGAACCAAAGTGATGATGACTCAGAGCAGAAAGTAACTGGCTGGAGATGGTGCTGCATCCTCCCATAAAACACAGCACACATTGTTCATCCAGGTAAAAAAAAGCTAGAAGCTGTATTACTCTGTCAGGGGCTTGGGGCTTGAGTATTCTGTTTAAGATCAAAGCAAAAATACTAGAGGCTGGGGCTGGCCTTCTGAAGCATCTTGACAATGCTACACTGTCAGTCATTTCCACGTCTGAGTTAATGTTATGAAGAGAAGACCATAAGAACTGCCATTTACCAGACCCTAGGTCCCTCTTGCCCAGTCTCCTGTGTCGCATGGTGGCAGAGAGCAGAGGCTGAAAGGGAGAGGGAATGGGGTATGACTGGGTTTGAGCCAATGTTCACCTGAGTTAATGCAAGCACACCTGAGTTAAGGTTTTTAGGTAGGACTAAAACCAGTGGGCCCAGCTGTGACACAGATGAGAAGCGGTATGTGGAGGAGCTGACAGGCAGATACACTGGAATAGCAAAAAGAATTTGGTTAATGGAGCCACTAAAAGGAGAGAGGGTTGTTAGCAACTGAGAATAGCAGGAATCAGGTACATTATAATGAGGCAGGAAGGAGGAGAAGAAATGCTGCTGCCCCTCCCAGGCAGCTGGAAGCAGGAACTGAAGGGGGTAACTGCCTCACAGCCCCCTTAGATTCACCCTTGCTCGTGTGCACCCCCCAGTGGATGATCCAGCTGGAGCCGATCCAGATGACACCGAGGATGGAGAGTTCTGCCTGTTTCCCATGTGAGCAACTTTTCATGGAGCTCCTTGTTCTCCTGTGGACTTTCAACCACCAATCCAAGGCCATCAGCTTTGCCAGCAGGTGCTCCCAGCAGGTAAAAGGGATGCCCCATGGCCATGCAGGCCCCATTCCCAACCAGGACCCCGTGGCAACAGTGGTCACAGCAGATCCGGGACATGGGCAGGTTGGATGCAAAGCTGCTGAACTCAGTGGTGTGGTTTGGACCAGCCAGCTGAGCCCTCCTGCATGACCCTCATCTTCCATCAACCTGGGCGGGTGTGGTGGGGTGGGCTGTGCAGCTTGTAGCAGAAGCAGGAGCTGGGGGCTGGCCAATGCAGTCAGAGGGCACTGGCACAGGCCCGGAGTCCCCAGGTGAGCCGTTGTTGTACTCCAGCCCGGTTACTTGAACCAGTACCAGAGGAAGCCACTGACCGCCACAACAATCAGCATGACCACGACCACCACAGGTGCAACCCAGACTTGATAGGAGGCTGTGAAAGAAACAGGACAAAAAGTGTGGGTGTCACGGCAGTGAGCAGCTGACTTCCCTGTGCCTGAAGTATGGCGGTGAGGCTGGCACCCTCCACCAGGCAGGACTGGGGAGACCTCCCCCATCCCTGTCCCCCTCTCCCTTTCCTTTCCCCTCCTTCTCCTCCTCCAGTCACTGAGCAGCTCCTCCAGGCTTGCACTCAGCTGTGGCCCCAGCTCCCCTGCTCCATCCTGCTCACTCCGCCCATCACTTTCTGCCACCCTCCCCATCACTAGATCCTAGCATCTGTTTGTTCATTTATCTATCTATCCACCACTAGATTCATCCATCTACCCATCCATCACTAAAACCTAGCATCCTTCCATCCATCTGTCCATATACCACTAGATCCTAGTATCCATCCCTCCCTTACTAGATCCTGGCATCTATGTATCTTCCCAGCTAGAGCCTAGCATCCATCCATCCAACTGTCCATCCATTATTAGATCTAGCATCCATCCATCCATCCATCCCTCTCTCTCTCTCTCATATGGCTGACTTAGAGCAACAATTATAAGTCTATTTTAAGGTTAGTTAACCACTCTAATGCTTTTGAGGAAAGGGAATGTATCTCTGTAATGTCACCATCAAATTTGTATAGATGGCAGAATGTTATGTGGTCCATATTTTGATCAGGGTTGCTAGTCACATTCTGCAGAACTCCTCATACACCATCTGTGCATCAGGTGACTGCAGCAGCCATGCCCAGTTCAGATCCAATTGAGAACCTTCCATGTTTTTTGTGGAAAGTTGAAACCAGAAGGATTTATTGTTGGGTCAGAAATAAGATGTTTATTCTGAGTGGTGGTTTCATTCCATGCTTTCCTCCAAGTTGCTCCACTGTCATGTCCTATAAGGCCTTGTATATATGTGTCCTCAAAGGTTTCTGAGAGACCAATTGGTAAGCTGGGAGGTTCTTTAAATATCCATAGATGAGGAGGTCTGGGTTGTCATTCATGAGCACAACCTCTCTGTATATAGCTTCGTTGGGGTGAATGCCTGGAGGGTCCAGATTGGCTAGCACCAGTAACCATTGAATTGGTGATTTCAGGGTTCCAGCGATAGCATGCATCCATCGTCCACATCCATCTGTCCATCCAACCATCGCTACATCCTGGTATTCATTCATCCATCCATCTGTCCATCCATCAGGAGATGCTAGCATCCATCCATCACTAAATCCTGGCACACATCCACTTGTCCCCAGATCAGGCATCTCTTTGCCTACCACCTACAAGCACTGATCAATCTACCCCCTTTAGAAGTGCCCCACTCCTCCCCCCCACCCACCAGCATTCAGCTGGTTCACTCTCTCAGGTGGAGCTTGCAGCCTCAGGGAAGAACTCACCCAGTGCCCACAGCTTCTCACCTTCTACAACCACGTCAGTCTGGCCCGTAACACTCCCAAAGCGGTTCTCAGCCACGCACTTGTAGGTGCCGTTGTGGGCACTCTGGGCCGTGATGATGGTCACAATGCTGTCATTGTCCAGCCGCCGCACACCATCCTCAGAAGGCAGCACCCAGTGCAGCACAGGTGGTGGGTTCCCCTGTGCATGGCACTGCACCACAATGTTGCCACCAGCTGCCACTGACATCTGCTCAGCCCAGACACTGACATTGTAGGGTATGGCTGAGGGAGGGGAAGAGGAGGAGTCATTTGCCGGGCTGGTGCAGGGGGTCCTCAGGGCCACAATTCCAGTCCCAAATGAGAGGGGATGTGGGGCACAGAGCTAGGACTCCCTCAGTGGCAAAGCCACCACCTGGTACTTGCGGGAGCTGAGCAGATTCTTGGGGCCACCCAGGCAGCTCCTCCCCTTCACCACCCCCAGCTCTAACACAGCTTTGAACAAACAAACCCAGGTGTCTTGGCTAAGCACCATACCTCCCACTACTCCAACCCAGCAACCCCCCCCATCCCACTCCCCTTCCAGACCTGGGAGGGAACCTGTGAATCCTGACTCCCAGACCCCAGCACCCTCTCCCCAGCATGATCCAGGAATTAACAAGGCATCCTGCACTTCAGACCCCATGCTAACCCCTCTCTCAGCCCCGCTCACCCCAGACACGTAGAGTGACACTGGCATTCACAGACAACTCCTGCTGGCCCAGGTGCAGCTTGGCCTCACATACAAGCTCGGTACCATCTTGCTCAGGATTTAGCACAAAGTCATACTGCAGAGAGTGATTCCTGTGGGTTCTGAGCCATTCATGGCCACCGCTGCTCAGTGTCAAGGTGAGGTCAGGCTCTGACACTTCGGATGTGCGGGCATAGACATGGCAAAAGACCTGCCCCTTGCGCCTGGCCACAATCTCAGCATCTGGGTGGATCTCAAGGTGGGAGAGCTCTGTCGGGAGATGGAGCAGAGATCACAGGGAGCTGGACAGGGGAAGGGGCCTCTAGCTGGGCTGGGACTCTGGACTCCTGGGTTCTCTGGGAAAGGACAGGCTCAAACATGCAAAGATAGAGATGCTGGGAGTCCAGACTCCTGGGTTCTTTTTCCCAGCTGGAAATGGGAGAGGGGGGAGGTTGAATGGGATGCAGGGCTAGAAGTTGTGGTTCCTAGATTGTGATCCTGCCTCTGGGGCAGGAGTGGAGCCTAGCGGGCAGAACCAGGACTCCCGTGTCCCACTGTTAACCCCTTGCTTGCCATGGAACTTTTCAAAAGTGCTTTCCCTGGCTTGGAGACCCTCATGAAAGCACTTGGGTTGGGGGGTGCTGAAGGTCCCCTACCCTGGCAGGGTGCTGGCAATTGGGGGTCAGTGCTCACCATAAACATGGAGCATATCCTCGACAATGGCCCGGCCCTCAAGGCCCCCCTGCCTGTAGCACTTCAGGTCCACTGGGCTCCAGTCTGAGATGTTGGTGATGCTCAGGGACACCCAGCCAGGCCCCTGCTGTGTCTTCTTCAGCACCGATACCTCCCAGTTCAGCTCACTGGCATTTGCACAGGTGCAGTTGAGGTCCACGGAGCCCCCGAACGGGACCACAGGCTCGGGGGGGTGATGCTGGGGACGCAGGGGTCAAGGCATGCTGGGAGGGGCACAGATACCAGGAGGTGGCATCAAAATGCCAGTGAGGTCCATTTTGGGGAAGGGGGTTGGCAAGGATTCACCAAAGCCTGGGCACAGCCAGGTCCTGCCCTGCTCTGCACCCAGGAAGTACTACTCCCCCACTGAAGGCAGCCACTTTTCAGCCCCCCACACCACACACCTGCCCTGCAGAGACCCAAGCACCTTGTCTCACAGCCAGTGCCAGCCTCACAGGGGGCAGATGGGCCAGCCTGAGGTCCCATACAAGGCACCCACAACTGATTTGAGTGAGAATCATAGAATCACAGAGAAGTGAGGCTGGCAAAAACCCCAAGAGGTCAAATCCAGTCCATCCCCTGCCTGAGGCGGGATCAGCTGTGTCCAAACCACCCCAGACAAATGCACTGTCTGACCTCTGAGCAACATGACAGTCACCCCTGCCACAGAGACAGCAAGGGGGCCATGGCCGCCAACGTCCTGCTGCTGCAAAGGGGGTTCATAGAAACTCAAGAGATCCCAGGCAGAGGTCATGCGCCTGCTGCAAAGGGGAGGGAAACTCCCCTAGTCTGTACCAGTCTGACCAGGGGGCATCAGTCTGACCCTGAGTGCAGGGGCAAGACCTTCAGGGTTGGTCCCAGCAGGAGCATTGGCACAGCTTAGTCACCATCCCCAGCTTGGGCTGCAGCCAACAGCCAAGGAGGCTTAACCCCCCACACCACACACACGGGTAGTAGAAAAGAGGAGCGGGGGGAAACCAGCAAAGCCCCCAAGCCTGGGAAATCGCCACAGCAGAGCACACGTTTTGTTGGGCCTAGATCATCCCCCACCAGGGGTTGCCCAGCCTCTCCTGGAGCCCCTCCAGTGCCTGAGAGTCTGCAGCTTCCCTGGCCGGGGAGACCTCTGAGGAGACCATGTCGGGGGAACTGGGGGTTGCTGGTCCCGGGCTGCAACCAGCAGCAGCAGGGACAGTGCAGCGGGGAAGGGCCCCCCCCACGACCGAGTTTGCAGGGTCTCAGCAGGACCTGAGGAGGTGGAAGGTGCTCCGAGCACTGTGAAGATGAGGCACTGTCAGGGCTGTGGGGTGGTGCAAGGGCTGCCAGCCCCGGCCCGGGCACGAAACCCTGGCGCATCCCACGAGCATGGACCTCTCCTACAGCCTTGGTGGGAGCCCTGCAACTGGCGCCCACCTCTGGGGGAGGCTCCAAGCCCCGACAGGGAGCAAAAAGAGGTGTGGGAGCCAGCAGAGCCTCGAGTCTGGGCCCCCGCCCGGCTCCCCGGGGCCTCTGCATCTGAGCCCAGCAGTTTTGCCCCAGCTCGCTTCGCTGCCGCTGCCGCTGCCCCCGCCCCGGAGGTGGCTGCATTTCCACTCCGGATGCAACTCTGCGGCCAGCCTCAGACTGGGGGGAGGCGGGGGAAGCTTTGTGGGGGCTTTTCTCCGCAAT